AAAGTTGTTGGCCAAAAACCGATTCGTTTGTAAAGTCAACCTTTTTAGATGATTTTTTAGAATATCTAGGCCAAATAATGTCCGATTTGGGAATTTTATACCATTTTGGACTCGTAAGGATCAGTACTATCGATTGGCATCAACAAAATAAAAATCTAAATTTCGACCAAAATCGGCAAAATGGCAAGGGGTTACATCACGTTTTTTCTAAAAATCGGGGTCGGTTCGAAAATAAAAACTTTTTTGATGATTTTTTTGAATATCTCGGGTAAATAATGTCAGATTTTGAAATGTTATACCTTTTTCAATTGGTAGGGATGCCTACTATCAATTGGCATTCAAACATTTTAAAAATCGATGGGTTAAAAAAAGTTGTTGACCAAAAACCGATTCGTTTGTAAAGTCAACCTTTTTAGATGATTTTTTAGAATATCTAGGCCAAATAATGTCCGATTTGGGAATTTTATACCATTTTGGACTCGTAAGGATCAGTACTATCGATTGGCATCAAAAAAATAAAAATCTAAATTTCGACCAAAATCGGCAAAATGGCAAGGGGTTACATCACGTTTTTTCTAAAAATCGGGGTCGGTTCGAAAATAAAAACTTTTTTGATGATTTTTTTGAATATCTCGGGTAAATAATGTCAGATTTTGAAATGTTATACCTTTTTCAATTGGTAGGGATGCCTACTATCAATTGGCATTCAAACATTTTAAAAATCGATGGGTTAAAAAAAGTTGTTGGCCAAAAACCGATTCGTTTGTAAAGTCAACCTTTTTAGATGATTTTTTAGAATATCTAGGCCAAATAATGTCCGATTTGGGAATTTTATACCATTTTGGACTCGTAAGGATCAGTACTATCGATTGGCATCAACAAAATAAAAATCTAAATTTCGACCAAAATCGGCAAAATGGCAAGGGGTTACATCACGTTTTTTCTAAAAATCGGGGTCGGTTCGAAAATAAAAACTTTTTTGATGATTTTTTTGAATATCTCGGGTAAATAATGTCAGATTTTGAAATGTTATACCTTTTTCAATTGGTAGGGATGCCTACTATCAATTGGCATTCAAACATTTTAAAAATCGATGGGTTAAAAAAAGTTGTTGACCAAAAACCGATTCGTTTGTAAAGTCAACCTTTTTAGATGATTTTTTAGAATATCTAGGCCAAATAATGTCCGATTTGGGAATTTTATACCATTTTGGACTCGTAAGAATCAGTACTATCGATTGGCATCAAAAAAATGAAAATCTAAATTTTGACCAAAATCGGCAAAATGGCAAGGGGTTACATCACGTTTTTTCTAAAAATCGGGGTCGGTTCGAAAATAACAACTTTTTTGATGATTTTTTTGAATATCTCGGGTAAATATTGTCAGATTTTGAAATGTTATACCTTTTTCAATTGGTAGGGATGCCTACTATCAATTGGCATTCAAACATTTTAAAAATCGATGGGTTAAAAAAAGTTGTTGGCCAAAAACCGATTCGTTTGTAAAGTCAACCTTTTTAGATGATTTTTTAGAATATCTAGGCCAAATAATGTCCGATTTGGGAATTTTATACCATTTTGGACTCGTAAGGATCAGTACTATCGATTGGCATCAAAAAAATAAAAATCTAAATTTCGACCAAAATCGGCAAAATGGCAAGGGGTTACATCACGTTTTTTCTAAAAATCGGGGTCGGTTCGAAAATAAAAACTTTTTTGATGATTTTTTTTAATATCTCGGGTAAATATTGTCAGATTTTGAAATGTTATATCTTTTTCAATTGGTAGGGATGCCTACTATCAATTGGCATTCAAACATTTTAAAAATCGATGGGTTAAAAAAAGTTGTTGGCCAAAAACCGATTCGTTTGTAAAGTCAACCTTTTTAGATGATTTTTTAGAATATCTAGGCCAAATAATGTCCGATTTGGGAATTTTATACCATTTTGGACTCGTAAGGATCAGTACTATCGATTGGCATCAACAAAATAAAAATCTAAATTTCGACCAAAATCGGCAAAATGGCAAGGGGTTACATCACGTTTTTTCTAAAAATCGGGGTCGGTTCGAAAATAAAAACTTTTTTGATGATTTTTTTGAATATCTCGGGTAAATAATGTCAGATTTTGAAATGTTATACCTTTTTCAATTGGTAGGGATGCCTACTATCAATTGGCATTCAAACATTTTAAAAATCGATGGGTTAAAAAAAGTTGTTGACCAAAAACCGATTCGTTTGTAAAGTCAACCTTTTTAGATGATTTTTTAGAATATCTAGGCCAAATAATGTCCGATTTGGGAATTTTATACCATTTTGGACTCGTAAGGATCAGTACTATCGATTGGCATCAACAAAATAAAAATCGAAATTTCGACCAAAATCGGCAAAATGGCAAGGGGTTACATCACGTTTTTTCTAAAAATCGGGGTCGGTTCGAAAATAAAAACTTTTTTGATGATTTTTTTGAATATCTCGGGTAAATAATGTCAGATTTTGAAATGTTATACCTTTTTCAATTGGTAGGGATGCCTACTATCAATTGGCATTCAAACATTTTAAAAATCGATGGGTTAAAAAAAGTTGTTGGCCAAAAACCGATTCGTTTGTAAAGTCAACCTTTTTAGATGATTTTTTAGAATATCTAGGCCAAATAATGTCCGATTTGGGAATTTTATACCATTTTGGACTCGTAAGGATCAGTACTATCGATTGGCATCAACAAAATAAAAATCTAAATTTCGACCAAAATCGGCAAAATGGCAAGGGGTTACATCACGTTTTTTCTAAAAATCGGGGTCGGTTCGAAAATAAAAACTTTTTTGATGATTTTTTTGAATATCTCGGGTAAATAATGTCAGATTTTGAAATGTTATACCTTTTTCAATTGGTAGGGATGCCTACTATCAATTGGCATTCAAACATTTTAAAAATCGATGGGTTAAAAAAAGTTGTTGACCAAAAACCGATTCGTTTGTAAAGTCAACCTTTTTAGATGATTTTTTAGAATATCTAGGCCAAATAATGTCCGATTTGGGAATTTTATACCATTTTGGACTCGTAAGAATCAGTACTATCGATTGGCATCAACAAAATAAAAATCTAAATTTCGACCAAAATCGGCAAAATGGCAAGGGGTTACATCACGTTTTTTCTAAAAATCGGGGTCGGTTCGAAAATAAAAACTTTTTTGATGATTTTTTTGAATATCTCGGGTAAATAATGTCAGATTTTGAAATGTTATACCTTTTTCAATTGGTAGGGATGCCTACTATCAATTGGCATTCAAACATTTTAAAAATCGATGGGTTAAAAAAAGTTGTTGGCCAAAAACCGATTCGTTTGTAAAGTCAACCTTTTTAGATGATTTTTTAGAATATCTAGGCCAAATAATGTCCGATTTGGGAATTTTATACCATTTTGGACTCGTAAGGATCAGTACTATCGATTGGCATCAAAAAAATAAAAATCTAAATTTCGACCAAAATCGGCAAAATGGCAAGGGGTTACATCACGTTTTTTCTAAAAATCGGGGTCGGTTCGAAAATAACAACTTTTTTGATGATTTTTTTGAATATCTCGGGTAAATAATGTCAGATTTTGAAATGTTATACCTTTTTCAATTGGTAGGGATGCCTACTATAAATTGGCATTCAAACATTTTAAAAATCGATGGGTTAAAAAAAGTTGTTGACCAAAAACCGATTCGTTTGTAAAGTCAACCTTTTTAGATGATTTTTTAGAATATCTAGGCCAAATAATGTCCGATTTGGGAATTTTATACCATTTTGGACTCGTAAGAATCAGTACTATCGATTGGCATCAACAAAATAAAAATCTAAATTTCGACCAAAATCGGCAAAATGGCAAGGGGTTACATCACGTTTTTTCTAAAAATCGGGGTCGGTTCGAAAATAACAACTTTTTTGATGATTTTTTTTGAATATCTCGGGTAAATATTGTCAGATTTTGAAATGTTATAGCTTTTTGAATTGGTAGGGATGCCTACTATCAATTGGCATTCAAACATTTTAAAAATCGATGGGTTAAAAAAAGTTGTTGACCAAAAACCGATTCGTTTGTAAAGTCAACCTTTTTAGATGTTTTTTTGGTATATCTATGCCAAATAATGTCCGATTTGGGAATTTTATACCATTTTGGACTCGCAAGGATCAGTACTATCGATCGGCATCTCTTTTTACGCATAAAAAATATTGACCGTAATAAAGATGGTATGGAGAACAGAGTTGGCTAATCAACATTTTATCTGCAGCTCTGGTCAGAAATCATTGATATGTTTCATATGAAAAGTCGTTTGGAACTCCTCCATGGTTAACTGCGCTTAATAGTTAATTAAAGGATCACAGTTTGTTATTTGTTTTATTTGCAGCTCTGGTCATATTATGTTTCATAGTTTACAGACATTTTACATATGTAAAATGATGCTGAAATACTTCAAGGTCACATTTTTCTGCATAAAAAATAATAGGCAATATTAAAAGTGATATAAAGTTAATCAAAAGAGCAGAGTAAGGCTTGATATTAGTGTACTCCATGGTCACATTATTTATGCATAATTTAAGATAGATCTATTTTATATTTAAAACAAATTTGTTAAATAAACGAAAAAAGTTTTATAAATAATTCCAACACGGAATACGATTTATTTAGTTTAAAAAAAAGCGGAGAGATTATGCACGTAAATGAATGCATGAGTTGTAGGGTATCTGCAAGTCGTATACGCATGACTGCAACGTGTCAGGCAACTTGCATGCTAGTTGAAAAATTGTGCATTTATGATTTTCAGGGTTGCAGCTTCAATCTTATCAGAGTTTTCATTAACCCACTGAATGCTTCTTATCTACATATATTGTGCTGGCCATATAATATATATAAGTATATACATATAGAGAGATATAGGAGCTTGCATAGATTGAGATACTAGGCAGATGTGCATTTAAATGATTTCTATATATGTAAATATTCTTCTCTTCGTTTGACAGCAAATAATGAAACGAGTTTCCTGGAGTCATCGCTCCGATATTTGGATGAGCAGCTGCTGTACGATATCTTGCCGCGTGCCACATGCCCCGGCCAGGAGCCAGATGCGCCCCTAGATGAATTTCCCGATATATTTACAGGTACGTCTATGTCAATAGAAATGCGAATTGAAGAGCTCTTCTAATACATAAGAGGAACCAGCTAGCACTGGTTCCACCTGGATAGCGAAACTGGTTGTGTTTAATCTGTGCCGCGCGAGAAAGCCTTCGGATTTAGTTTAATTGTCATTTTCTTGGCCAAATCGCAGAGACTTGAACTTGCTGACCATGCGGCATTGGTCAATGGTCTTCCTGCTGGGTCTTCGCGCACGGCTCTTATCACTGGGCCAGGGTCAATACAAGTGCGCCGATAAGCGGCAAAAACTCAATGGGCCAATAAATCAGTCGACGCAAATGTGTTTACACTGGAGAAGCGCCTCATATGAACTACTACTTACAACGCCCCCCCCCCCTCCCCCTCCCCGCCATCTGCTACGCAGATTGTCTATTTTGACAGCGCAACGGGCATTTCATACGTACTCTCGACTCGTATCTTCTATGTACACACATGTCCGCGTATATGTATATAGTATAGTATATACATATATATCTATACTATATACATATCTCTTTGCTGCTCTTCAAATCGTGCTTCTTATCGCGGCCAAGTCGTGAAAAACCTTTAATTAAACTACAATACTTGGAACATGACAGATACACATACTTGCAGCGTTCCGGCGTTCCGTGTGTGTGCCCCCCCCCCCCTCAGTCAAACTCAGGCCATGTAATAAATAGCAAAAACTCTCTATCTACATGATATGCCAATAGAATCTTTATGCCCTGTAATTGTGCCAGTTGGGCCTCTTGTTCTGCCTAACCATATATGTAGCTGGCTTATGCCCTTTCTTTATCTCTAGATTCTCTTTTATATAGAACTCGGGATCCATTGGGGCTACATTCAGAAAATGCACCCAAAAAAAAAAGAAAAGAAAAGTCCCAATTTAATTATGATATTCTCTTGTTCGAACAGTGGAGCAGCTGCGTCAGGGTTGGGTAGCTCTGCACGTATTCGCCGCGATCTATTTCTTCATATTGCTGGCCATCATATGCAATGACTACTTTCTGCCCACCGTCGAGTGCATCTGCGAGGATCTGCATCTGTCGAAAGATGTGGCGGCAGCCACATTTATGGCCACAGCCACCTCGATGCCCGAGTTCTTTACGAACACGATAAGTACGCTAATCTTGGAGTCGGACATGGGACTGGGCACCATTATCGGGTCGCTGATGTTCAACACACTTGGCGTCGCCGGACTCGCCGCCCTGGCCATCAACAAGGTAAACAATTGTGGGCAGCCGTTTTATGTTGTATTCACTGTAGCCAGCTATTGGTTCAATTGCAGCCAGTGCAGCTGGACTGGTGGCCCATAGCACGGGATTGCGCCATCTATATCTTCAATACGATCGTGTTGCTGGTGCTCGCCTGGGGCGGCAGCATCAGCTTTGTGGAATCGTGCGTCATGATGGGCTTCCTGGTGCTCTACTATCTGATCACGTTTAACAACAATAAGTTTATGCCAGCCATACGCGTCTTTATCGAGGATCGCATGAACTGCTGCTTCTCCACGCGTTACGGTAAGTCGACTTTACAGAACGATTATCCAGGGAATCTGTTGACGAACATTTGCACACTTTCAATAGATCTCACGGAACCACCTGAGAACAGCGCCAAGGCGCAGCTGCCGCTGAAAAAGGATCCACTCTCCGGCGACGGACTGTTTGTGGTCAATTTTCCGGAGAATACCTCATCCATGTCGTCTACGGCCAATTTGACGCACTCCAAGAATTGTAAGTGTGAATTAAAGCAAAAGTAAAAAAGTTCAGTTCCAAATTATTTAACTGGTTCCGCTGTCAAAAAAACAACTGCTATCTTGACACTTGTGATTCGGGCTTATAGAGATCGCGATACGTGCTTAATGTTATCGATAACAACACGAATTTATCGCGAGGGCATGCTTTATTATTTTTTTTTTTTAAATAGCTGCTATCTTGACATTTGTAATTCGAGCTTATAGCGATCGCGATACGCGCTAAATGTTATCGATAACAAAACGAATTTCTCTTTTTTAAAGCGTTTTTCAACACATTCATTTGATTGTTTTTTTTGTGTCTGTCCAGGGAATGGCGAGGACGATGACGACGATCAGCTACCGCGGAGCATTTTCGCCTTTCCACACGGCGCTACAACATTCACGAAATGCTGGTGGGTCTTTACGTTCCCAATTAAACTAGTTCTGCGCATGCTGATTCCACATCCCATGCGGCATCGCCGATTATATCCGTTGTCCTTCATCATGTGCATCATTTGCATTGGCGGCAATGCCTATCTAATTGTCTGGATGTTAACGGCTTTTGGTGTGGCGATACGTGTGCCCACCATTGTCATGGGTCTCACCTTTTTGGCCGCTGGCTCCACGATGCCCGAGGCGGTTTCCAGCCTTATTTCGCTGCGAAATGGTAAGTAAATTGATTCTAGAGCTGCCCGCATTTTGGGACTAATCTCTTGGACTTCTAGGCGAGAATGGCATTGGCGTCTCGAATTCCCTGGGCGCCAATTCATTGGCCATTTTGTTGTCCCTGGGCGTACCGTGGTTCGTGAAGAACTGCATCAACTATGGCACCGGCGAGAAGCAGCAGGTGGGCACCCAGGGCATCGAGTACAATATATTGATCCTGATATTCTGCACCATCGCCCTATTCATCGTGCTAAGCTGCAGCGGATATCGTCTAACGAAGCGCGTGGGCATAGCCCTGTTCAGCGTTTACACGGTATTCATAGTGCTGCAAATATTGATCGAGATGAATGTGTTCTTCCCCATGGACTGCAGCAGCTAATAACCACAACACTAGTTCCAGTTCCAGTTCCACTTCCACTTCCAGTTCCAGTTCCAATTCCAGTTTGATAATCGGTATTCGTGTTAAAGTTTAATGCCTTCGAGCTTCTGGCTGGCACCAGAGCAGCACGCTGCCTGACGTTAAGTTCGGTTAAGTTTCCCGTTCTAATTGTTTAATGTATATACGAGATCTTGGAGTTGCGTTAGTTTTAATATGTATATACATATCGATAATGGGGCTTATGACATTGGTTGCTAAAATGTTGGGTTTTGCTCTCAGTATGAGTTGATGTAGTTCATGGAACTAATTCAGGCTATTCATTTTGGCTTAAATGCCAAGCTAACGTATTATTTTAGGGTTGCCACCTACGAGAAAACGAACAACGACGATCTACAACATAAAGGAGATTTACAAAAACTCACTATGCTTCAACCACTAACCAAAAATATCAAGCTAATTAATGTCATACGTTCACATTATACAATTAAATACAATTTTTTTTTTGTTTTTGTTTTCCTAGCTTAGGTACTCCTTAAGACTGTCTACTGTTTAGGTATAAATAATTGATTGATTGCAACAAACTATCCTGTTGTACACTATTTATAAAACCCCACCCCAAAGGCTCTGCTAACGTCACAAATTTTAAACTGGTACCAAAGCGCGACATTCTACTGTAGCTAAAAACTTCAAGCGAATTACCACTTAGAAACCAAATGCTTTATATATTTATATATGTGTGTAATCATTGTATATAAATATATATGTATATATATTTACTGACTATAACTAACTACAAGTACGATTACGTAAGTGCCCTGCGATATTTATGGCCACCGGCTAGACTTTCCTTAATTATGTGCACAGGGTATTGATAGTGTGGTGTGCCCGTGTATTATCACTGTTGATATTCCATAATTTGTGGACTCTATTGTTACCGTTACCGTTACCGTTACTGTTACTGTTACTGTTACCGTACACTTACACATCTACACAAATACCGTTTGTTATTAATTTATAAATACATTTAACGACAAATATTAACAATTGTGATTTTTAACGATTTTGCTCAGATAGCAAATAGCAAAGAGAGAAACAAATAATAATAAAATAAATTAAAAACTAAAAACAAAACAACTCAAGTGTCTCATTGCTCGACTCTCAAGTGGCCTGTGTGATTTGCTGATTAGTGTGTGCACAGTGTACATACTTATGTCGCACACTGTGCTTAAGGCGCTGATAAACAAAATGGGAAACACCGTTTTTGCTTGCTTTGTTGTTTTTGTTTAATAACCCTTCGGATTGGAGAAATTCATTAAAGTTTCATCACATAAATAAGTTGCTAAATGAGATCAAACATACATATACATATATATATATATAAAAGTATCTTAAGTGTATACACTGAGAGAAATGAAATACCAAACAATTTTCAATGACAACTTATTAAAACATAATTATAACTATGCTAGTCAATTTGTATGATAATGTGTGTGTGTGTGTGTGAGTATATCTTACAGACATAAAACAGATAATCCGTAATCCGCGTCACTAGCTTTACTCCGATAAATGTTTCTAATCAAATAACCAGCACTGTAGCTGCTCGCCCTCCATAAAGCTAGCTAGACTTAATAATTGTTCTTTTTTTTTGTTTAGTTTTTTGCGCTATATGCGGGCAAATGTCTGGGGATCGTAAGCGATTGTAATAATATTAACATGCGTATAAATATGCAATTAGTTCTTGTTTTTCATCATAATAAATACTTATAAATAGTTGCTTGGTTTCCTTGTCTTTTTGTTTTTTATCTGTTCAACTTTTGTCATATTTTTTCTTAACATGCTCGTGTGTAATTTTGGTATTCGAACGCAATACAATACATACTAAACAAGAGAAGTTTTAAAAACTTGCGCCCTACACGAACGCTTAACATTTCGTACACATTTTTGTGTGGTTTTCTTAGCCGTCACGGGGGAATGCATAAAATGCATTTTCCCCCCATGAACAAATCAGTCTGAGCAATTACAATTCAAATGTGCCTGCGAATTACATATGCAAACATGTTTAAACAGGGGGCTGTTCTTTGCCCTGGGGTGGAGGGCAACGTTCAGAACGCTTTTTATAGCTTTTAGCTGCGTTTTGAACAACCAATTGGCACAATTTCTACTGACATTAATAGAACACTGAAGAAAGTAATTCCGAGTTAATATGAGAGAGAAAGGAACAAACGCAAGTTAAATAATTTCAAATCAGAATTGGCAAACAATTTCGAAAATTTTTGTTGTTGACTTGGTCGAAGCTTTGAAGCCAGTGCCTTGGGCCTGGTTAAGTTCCATATTTCATTGGGCCACACACACATTAGGTGCAACAGTGGTGTCCGTTCTTAACGTAATAGTTGTGCATGGCAACGGTGCCGTTTTTGCTGTAACTGCCGCCGCCGCCATTGTATTGTGTACTTGCGTTGCCGGCGCCATTTAAGAAGCTGGCGCTGCCGTTACTGCCGTTACTGCTGGTCGCAGTCGCAGTTGCCGTTGCAGTTGCAGTGCCATTGTCATTACTGGTGGCCGCATCGAATGCCTTGATGTGATTCTGTATGATTTTACACGTAAATTGTCGATGCTGGCCCGGTTCCTATGCAAAAACAAAATAAAATCAAAATCAAATTAGTAATTGGCCTCCATATACCTTCCATACATATGCATACATACTTGTGTGAGTGTGTGTGTGTGTGTGCTTGTGTGTTGTGTGTGCGTGTGTGTCAGTATTTGCGTTTGCGTATGTTTTTACCTACCTTTGGCTGTATGGGAAAACAACACCAGAGTATAAACGCTATGAAGGCCACCAGTGTGCCCACAAGCAATATGAAATCCTCGATGGTCTGATATGAGCATAGAAGATGAAAATCAATTATAAATTCGATTAGTGTTGTCTGGCAGCACTGTGTGTGTGTGTGCGTTCCTGTTGTTGTTGTTGTTGTTCCTACTTACCGGCTCTTCGCCAAGCAGCACGTGATTTATCAAATAGACGAAATCATCAAATGGTGTCATTGTGAATGCCGAAAACGCAGTCCAAATTCAGCTTGCAGTTTGTTTAGATCCGGGTTTTTCTTTATTTTATTTTTTTTTTGACTACTGCTGCAGCTGCTGGGCGTTTTCTTCAAGATTCGGTTTATTACATGCACAGCAATAACGTTAACATGGCGCTGGCACTGCAACACTATCACAAAAACAAATACTTAAAATAAAAATTCGCAACCTTGCACAAAATTATGTGTTAAACGCAGCTGCAGCGGCAGCACAGGCACAGCGCTTTGTGATGGGCATGGCGCGGTTTAAGCTTAGAATATCGATAGTATCGAAATTATTTCAGTGTTATCAGTGTTGAGTCGTTTTGATATATCGATGTGTAAGATTTACTGAAATAACGAGCTAAATATACCAAAGTGAGGTCATTTGAACGGCATCGATAAACATGTTGCATATCAAAAGCTAATCAAGCTGAAAACATCATTTCAAATTGTTTTGAAATAAGCATAGCTGAGCCAGCATCGATACAGTGGTGGGTATCGATAGGCAAACAGCTGTTAACGGCAATGCCGCTTATCAGTCAATTGTCATCACTAGCATAATTTTAAAGGTGTTTGTGTTTTCGATTTATCAAGCCGCATATATTTTTATAATTTCAAGTGAAATATGGTGAAAGTTGCCAAAGCGCGCAGCAAGGAGCGCGCCATGCGCAGCGAGAATGATACGGTGGCCCAGACCAGCGATGACGACATCAAATCGAAGTTAGCAAAATCAAAGACAATCAAGAAGCATTCAGAAGCCGTAAATCGCAAAAAGAGCAAAACGCGCAAGCGAAAAATAGCACGCGATAGCTCCAGCTCCAGCTCCTCCTCCAGCGGCAGCAGCAGCAGCAGCAGTAGCAGCAGCAATAGTCGCAGCAGCAGTAGTCGCAGCAGCAATAGCAGCGACAGCAGCGAAGCCTCTAAATCTGTCGGTGACAACAAACGCGCCAAAAAAACGAAAGTGCTCAAGGACGCAACGCCCAAACGAGAAAAACCACAGCAACAACAACGGGAGCCTGCTGCGGTGGAGAGCAAAGTGCAAGAGCAGCGCTCCAAATGGGACAGTCCTGAACGCAGCGGCGCCAGCCAGCGACACGGTTCCGGCAAAAACACAAACAAAGCCCGCAAGCGAAGTCGCAGTCGCGAACGTGAGCGAGAGCGGGAGCGGGAACGCGAGAGGGACAGAGACAGGGAGCGGGATCGTGACCGTGAACGTGACAATCAAGTGCGTCGCGGACGCGAAAGGGAACGGGAACGCGATAGAGATCTAGAGCGCAGCAAGGATCGCCGTCAGCAGCAGCAGCAGCAGCGTATGCGCAGCAACGAGCGTCGGGAGCGACCACGTCGCTCGCCCGTCGATTCACATCGGTAAGTAGAAGAAGACTTAAGAGTGCGACACTTACCTTAACATTTACGTCCCATGCAGGCGCAGCAGAAGCCACAGCCGCAGTCCACGGGAGCGTTCCTATAGAGGCGGCGGTGGACCGCGTCGCCACCAGCAGCAGCAGCGTCGCAATGACAATCGCAACCGGGACGAGGAGCACTTTGAGTGGGGCAAGCCAAATGACAAGGACAAGCCGCCGGCGTCCAATGATGATGAGCCGCTCGACAAGGAGAAACCCAATTTTGGACTGAGTGGTGCCCTCACCGAGGACACCAACAAAGTGAACGGTGTTGTCGTCAAATACTCGGAGCCGCCGGAGGCGCGCAAGCCCAAACGTCGCTGGCGTCTGTATCCCTTCAAGGGTGAGACGGCGCTGCCCACGCTTCACATACATCGACAGAGCTGTTTTCTGGTGGGACGCGATCGCAAAGTGGTCGACCTGGCGGTCGATCATCCCAGCTGCTCCAAGCAGCATGCAGCACTCCAATACCGTCTGGTGCCTTTCGCACGCGATGACGGCAGTCAGGGCAAACGGGTGCGTTTATATCTAATCGATTTGGAGTCGGCAAATGGCACGTTTCTCAACAACAAGAAAATCGATGGACGCAAATACTATGAACTGATGGAGAAGGATGTCATCAAGTTTGGCTTTAGCTCGCGCGAATATGTGCTGCTGCATGAGAACAGCAAGGAGGACCAGGAAGATGACGATGTGCATATCAAAGACGAGCCGGCCGAGACATTTGACCCAGAAGCCGAGCAGAGCAATGCGCAAATATGAAAGAGAGGCAGATAATATGCTCACTCGCTTTCTCTCTCTCTCTCACACACACACACACACACACACACACACACATACATACACACACACACGCACAGACACTGTTCTTAAGCTAAGTTCAATTGTATACTAAACTATGTATGTTCAAATCAATGTGTCTCCCCTCCACCTTACCCCACCCGCACCGCCTCCCCCCATCCAAATGTGTGTGTTTTGTCCATTTGTCTATGTCCAAAATGCGGCACGTTTTCGCGTGCAACAACTGCCAACATTGAAATACAAGCCAGAATTGTGTACTTCCTCATCAAATTGCGATGAACTATTTTTTGAGTTTTGAGTTGCGACAGCTCCAACTAGCTTTGACTCGAGCAGTGAACCGTCACGTCTACAGCTTAACGCAACATGCATGGGCGTGCCATCATCTGGAGCTGCATCTGCATTGGCATTTGCCTTGTCCACGTCTATGCCGTGCCAGCGGCCAGGCCGCGTCGCCAGGTGGTGCAGCCCTTGTGGCTAATGCGGCCCGATTTGCTGCCCACCTCACAGGCGGCAAGGGTGAGCGTGACGCCGCAGAAGCTACAGGAAACGGCCGACATACGTGCCAGCATACAAAAGGCTGTCAATGAGGGCACCTACATGGTGGCCGCCAGTCCGCAGCAGGTGAGTGCTGCAAATGACAGCAGCAACAGTCGCTAATAGGAAAAGCAAGCTTCAATCTCTTGTATCCGCATGTCAAAGTTAACAAGCACTTTTGTCGACTTTTGCATATACTTGCGAGGCAGTTTATCAAGGTGTTAAGTATTTGACCTGAAGCTAGAATTGCAGTGCTGCCACCTGGCCTAGCTTTGCACATCTGGCAGCACCGATTCTTCATTTAATTGCCAGTCAGTCTTTGACATATTCTCAATTGTCTCCGATTTTGTCAGTTCAAAGACAATTTCACAAATACTCGCACCAACTGAGCCTGCCAAACGTGGCGTTGCCATACTTGTCTAAAAAGAGTGCAGCTTGTTATTAGCAGGAACTTTGCAATGCACTTAATCTAACGGACTAATTTACCTCAGGTTAAACTTTATGCTTTCCAAAAATCTTTAAAATGGTTCTATATAATTGAATTTAAAATGTTACTAGGGAAAACAATTTTCCATTTCTACTCTGATATTCGACTTGTACGTGAAGTAGTTAAGACTTTCTAGGACAGCTACTTGATATGGTAATCCGATCGGGCTGGTATCTATTTATACGCTGTCTGCAGTCAAAACTGCATATTAAAAGAAAATTATCAAATTATTTAAAGGCTGTTTTTTAAGCCGAAAGTCTTGGTAGATACAGTTTTTTTCGGCAACTGACGAAAAAGAAACGTGGCTCGCACCAAAATGAATCTAGCCTTAGCTTAAAAATATATCCTACTCTTAAGGTAATGCAAACTCTATCCGATCCATAAGATTCGAATAGAATCAATCTTGCAAAGAGATGGAAGAGATATTGTTATCAAATCCGCAATCCTTTTAAGCATATTTCGTGACATTATAAACAATGCCAACTCTTCCAGTTCCTGACTGCGCTGGGCCAAGTGAACAGCCCTGGAGCACCTGGTAGCCCATTCCCGATGCCCGTGCTGCCCGCTTTCACGCTGCCAAATGCGACTTGGTGGCGAGCGCGTATGTTTTTTGCCTGAAATTGCGCTTTTATTCCGTTTCCAGTTATAATAAATAATGCCAATTAGTTTAGAGACATCCGAAACTCCGAGGATTCGCCGCCATCAGCGACCGAACAGATGCGGCAATTTCAAAAGTTTACGCGCCTTGAGAAGCTGCAACAAAAAAACAATTTGCATTAACCGGAAATTCATTTGGTTTTTATTTGGAAAAAAAAAAAAAAAAACTTAATCATGTAGTAATAATGAAATGTATACTTTATAGCATATGCAATTTTAACTATCAAACAATTTTCAACAGTTTCTCTTTTTTTTTTTCCTCTGGTATGTCATGAATGTGTTTTGTTTCTTTTTTTCATAGGGTATACACTTAGGGTATATCGCTGTACAAAATCTCATTTAACATTAGTTTTCTCTAGCACTAAACAAAAATGCTCTAAAATACATATATGTATATATATATATATATATATATATATATAGTATATCATATCATATCATGTGTACCAACATACTTATACGCGTGTGTAGCCTGTTTACTGCAAATCAAGAGGTATACATTAGTTTACTGCCTGTTGGAACTATAATTAGGCATTTATATATCGAACTATATGCATATATATGCATATATATTCATATATAATATATATATATGCATTAGGTTCTTGTGCGGCTTTACAATATTTTCATATAAGTATTATACTTTTGTTTGTTCCCTTAGCAATGAAAACTGACTTTAACAATATTCTCAAAAAAAACAGGTTTTTTAAACTATTATAATTCAAAAGTAAGAAGCTAACATCTGGCTGGCACTTGCAGAGAGCTTTATTCCCAGACAAACTGATCTAAAACCAAAGTCTAGCATTCGATCCTGCATATAGCCTCTATATATCTATATATATATATATTCTACGAGTCCTATATCGATCTTTATAAAAAATATTTAAACTTTACCACACAATAACACAAATATCTATGGATTCTATGTTATCTATTTTGTATATTGGTCCAACCAAATTTGGCTCTATATATATACATATATGTGTATATATATATATATTTTGTATAAGGCTTACGGAAACTTGTTCTTATTGATTTTGGTCTGGTTTATGTGTAAAAAACAAAGTTATTCGGCTTAACAACTTAATAAATATGGCTACTATATGTTGTACTAATCGGATCAAGTCTATTGCGTTTTATGTGCTAACTTTATGTATCAAAAAAGAAAAGCATCTGTACCAGGTTTCATTAACATAGTTTTCATAGAAATTAAATGGGCCTAAGCGTTACGATATATACTATGGATAAATTCTAGAACAAGGCTAAGAGAAGAAACGTAACAACAATTTCTGTAATATTCTATTTGTTATATAATATATGAGACTCTGATTAAGAGAAAATTAAGCTTAAGAACTGTGAACTTGGCTCGAGATAAACAGAGACAGACACTTAATATATATCTATAATAATTATAATGTCTGATATATGGTCATGGATTTTCTCCATTTATCAAGCAATAAATCAATAAAAAGAACCATCAACAAGCTCTCTGCAAGTTGCAAAACCAAAATTGATCGATCGACAATCGAATTGTTATCGAGTTAACGAGGCGCAGTTTTACACAGTTGTACAGTTATAAACAGTATTACAGTTGTATAGTATAACAGTTTTACAGTTTGACAGTATTACAGTATTACAGTATTACATTATAACACGCATGGATATTAATGCATTTCTTCTAGCTTAGGCTCACATTTGGCTTATATAAGAAAAACGGCTTTAAATACTAAAATTATTTACTTCTTTTATATTATTTTATTTGTTTATTTATTTATTATTATTATTTTGTTTGAATATAAGGCGTCTTTCAGATCCGTTTGCTTGCAGAAAGGGAAAAGGCAAAGGAGCAGACAGAGACAAATTTGTTGTCCAGATGAGGGAATGTTTTCAGCTCAGTTTTGTTGTTGTTGAAAATGTTCTCGGAATGCATTAAATATGAAATAAATGAACAACTAAACAATAATTAAGTGCAACTAACTTTGACTTAACTCAAGTCCGCTGACTAAATGCTAAACACAACATTGTGGCTAGTCTTATGGTTGCTTTGTTTTGGGGCTTTGCTTTTTGGAATGAAACTATTTTTGTTTTTCTTTCTTGTATATAATGCTAAGGTTAGCTTAACATGATCATAAATGGAGTTGTATATGAGCGAAAAGCGATTTCTTATTACTCTTCTTTGTTTTAGCATAGCCATACATTATACATCCGAGACTGCAGGCCGCAAAGCTTCGAATCCGGCGTTCAATTTTAATCAAATAACTTAACTAATTCCGAAAAAATATTATTATTATTATTATATTAATATTAAGCTGGCCGGCTTGAGATCTGTGCATAATAGGTATAATAACAAGTACAAGTTATTGACAACAACAAATCAACTTGTAATTCGCAACAAGTTTTAGGTACGAGCGAGCAAGAGCCTAGAGTCGATAGCAAAGTCTGCTGTTTGATAGAATCCTGCTCATATCTTGTCTTTCGACAATTATCTACATATATAAATATAAGAAAACTAACATGGACCTTGAGCCGACTAGCTTAGTATTAGTATTTAAAAAAAACCATTCCTATAATATGCAAAAAGAAACCAACTTAAAAATCATACAAAATAGTTCAACATTTAAGTCTAAGCTTTGACAAATTTGTTAAACATTTGAATCTTGAGCCGGATTCGAAGTTCTTTGCCGCGACTGGTTCCACGCGTGAACCGTGAACCAGGCGACGAGTTGCGACTGGTTCCGCGCGTGAACCGTGAACCGTGAACCAGCAACAAGTCTTTTGCGGCTGTGCAGCCCCGTATATAATAGATACAAATACATACATACAAGCCATGATTACAACGAATCTACATATACACTAAAAACTAGAAGCTATATGCTTTATATATATATATATACATATATATATATATAGGTATATATACTAGATTATGCTTAACAAAAATTAAAAAAAAAGAACAAGACGCGGCCTGCATCAATGGATCCACCCAAATATCGTGCTAAATAATAATTGCAGTATTAAGAAAGAAGAGAAGATGATTAAATGAAAGTAAAATAGAGAATGCAACGAACGACAAGTTGTGCGACTGGCTGCACTATGTTCCATCTAAAACAAGTTCCATATTATAATCCAGATTGTCGTTGTTCTTGTTTATTGTTGTTGATGTATTCATGTTGTTGTTGATGTTGCTGATGTTGCTGTTGCTTTTGTTGCTGTTGCTTTTGCTGTTGCTGCTGATGTTTTCGAGTGTTGTCTCTGGCCAATACACTACACATTTAGCATGATAGGTTAGGCAACCCCATATTGGATATATTCTTATCTAACCTCATCGATATCCTCGCCCTCCGACGAGCTGCGTATGGTATTATACTGCGAGTTCCGGCTGCGCAGCATTCGAAGGAAGCTGCCGACGGCGAATATGGTGCGCCGATGTCGATGGAATATACCCTGGTATAAGGCCTCTCGTAATGTCTTTCGATCTTCAACGTCCACCGATGACGTCAATGATGTTTGATGCGGCAAACGTGCTGCAAATAAATACACCATTAATTAATAATAATAAAAAATACACACACTAAACAAACGCACACACACACACACACGCACACACACACACATGCGATAAGGCAAGACGATCGTTAAAAAGAATTAAAAAATGAAAATATAAAAATTTAAAAACGGGCACTCTCCACAGTTTCTTGGCGTCTAACCGAAAGCCCCGACTCGAACATTTTGTTTTCAAATGTTTCGCAGATCAATTTTCGCAAGCTGTGTGTGTGCGTGTGTGTGTGTGTGTGTGCGTGTGTGTGTGTGTTTTAGATCAGTTTTCATGGAAAAATCAATTCAAGCCACATGACATTTGAGCTACCCGAGAGAACGTCATATATGTATGTACATATAAAAAACATTGTGTAAACTACAGTGAGGACACGCAAAAACGGAAACGAAGCCTGCCTCAAAAACTCAGCACTTCGATGGGCGTGCCCTTTCCTCAGCCCAGGCGAATTAAAGCTGGCAATTCGGAAACTAAATTTTCCGATCTGTAACACAATTTTCGAGTTATGCCCCAAAAACCTAATCAATCAATCGATATTTATCGATAATATGCTGTTAAACACTTATCGTTTAGTTATCGATAATATGCTGTTTCAGACTTATCGTTTAGTTATTGATAATATGTTGTCAAACACTTATCGTTTAGTTATCGATAATATGTTGTTTAACACTATTAAATTTCAGCTTGTTATAGTTAAGTTCGTATCCCTCAAGTGCCATCAAATTGTTATTGCTAGCTTAGTTCAAACAGGTGGCAACGCTGTCATCACATTTTATATATATTTAAGAGGTGGTTAAACTTAGCTTCCAATTGGTTAATGGCAAAGCGTCTGATCAAATTAGCTCAAACTGTTTAAGGCTAATTGTAGCTCTGGCCGATCTAAAAGCAGAGTTGCCACCTTTCTTTCCCAATGTAGTTGCCAAACTTGCAAAAAATGCGTAAATTTAACATGAACTTTACAAGGAACCCCACAAAATGTGCCTCCGACTTGTTGGTTGCTAAAACCGAATTGGTTTGGTGCGTGCTTTGTGTTTGCGGCACTGCAAACGTTTACTTTGCCGAAATTTCTAAGTTTCTTAGAAGAGTTTACGTGCTGTAAAGCTGGCGGCTAATAAAATTGCCAGCGCTGTTGTCACATTTAACACAAATATTTGGCTAACGAAGCAACGCATAAAAATCTATTTTATTTGTTTAGTGATAAAACGAGCGTAAAAGTCAAAGGTTCAAACTGGCTAACAAAATAGACAACATATTTTTTAGTTCCTGCAGTCGCTGTGCTATTTGTTCTACTGTACTTTAGCTCATGTGCGTATTGATAATTATACCCTGAGCCCATTAAAAATGTGTAAAAAGGGTGTTATGTTTTTGTGCAAATGTAGGTAACAGGCGAAAGGAAGCATCTCCGAATATATATATACATATATATTTGATCAGGACAATAAGCTGAGGGGATCTAGCTGTATCTCTGTCTCTGCCTGTGTGCATAAAACTAGAAAATAGACTTGACTTTTGAAATATATATATACACATATTCTTATATATTATACGCAGAGCGATTTGATAAGTTTTTTTGTTTTGATAATATCGATGTATATCGATAAATAATCTTTAAAATTTAGCACCTAAATTAAATTCTTGTATAGTACACACAGATATATTCCACTTAAGGATTAAAAGCGCAGCCGCTGCGTAAAGTGCGCAGCGTGAGGGCGTGTGTGTATGTGTCTGTGTACGTAAATGTGCCTGTGTGCGTGTCTGTGATTGTGTGCATTGTGCACACATGTATAGAAAAAAGCTAGAATGTTCGCTGCGACAGCATCGGCTTGTTACTGTGTTCAGGGTATCTCCTAGTCGGGCATTCTCTCTGATCAAGGCACGCCTACTTGTGTGTGTGTTTTTTTTTTAATTTTCTTCTTTATAGGCGCTGGCTTGTTTGCGTTTACCTTGAACATAGCTGGGGCCTAGGAACGGGGTTTGTTCAATTCATATGCACACACAATTTGTATATACATACATACATACACAAATACATACATATAGTATATATATATTCTTGAAACTTACCCGCGATGGGCGATTTTGGCGACTTGAGCGAGTACTCATCCAGATTCTTGCCGCCCAAATCGAGTTTGAGCACCTTTTTGGTCAGCTGCTGTGTGGCCGCCTCCATGTTGCTGCATTTCTCGATTTTGATGTCCACATTGCGCTGGCTAACGGCGCTTTTGGTGGGCGCGGCTGCAGCAGAGGCTGCTGCTGCTGCTGCTGCTGCTGCTGCTGTTGTTACTGTTACTGTTGTTGTTGGTGTTGTTGATGTGCCTGTTGCTTTGGCGGCATCGGCGTCGCTTGCATCTGACATGTTGTCGTTGTTGTTGTTGTTGCTGCTGTCGCGCTTATCAATATGCTTTTTGCTGCTGCTGCTGTTGATGTTGTTGTTGTTGTTGTTGTTGTTGTTATTATTTGAATTGGAGGTCGCAGCTTGTGTATCGCTGGCACTTGCGGCCGCTAATGCTGCAAATTGAACGCTGCTGCCGCTGCTATTGGCGTTCGCTGATGTCGTCGTCGTCGCTGCTGGCGTTGGCAGCGCTGCGTCGCTAATAGTTGTTGTTGTTGTTGTTGTTGTTATTGCTGTTATTTGAACGTCGGCAGCAGCCGCAACCATTGTTCGAGCGCCTCGCCAAATACGCAATAGTTTGGCTCAAAAGCCGTTTTATATTTTGTTCTAGCCGTTATGAGCTGCCGCCTGCTGTTGTTTTTGTTGTTGTTGTTGTTGTTGTTGGTGTTGTTATTGTAGCTGTTGTTGTCGTTTTTGTTATTGTGATTATTGTTGCTTCTGGTCGTTGTTTGTCTGCCTTTTGCATATAAAAAACAAAAAAAAAAAATACGATTTCCGATGACGTGCGCGTTTTTGCTTTGTTCAGCGTTTATTTTGTTGTCTATTTTTGCTGCTTGTTTGTTTGTTTTTTTTGTTGGTTTTTTTTTTTTGTTGGTTGTTGGCAATTAATTGCAGTTGTTGATGCCGCTGCTGCTGCTGCTATCGCGTATTACAGTTGTATTATGTTGGTGGTTCGGTTTCGTTGGGTGTTTGCACAATCGCCGGCAATATCCAAATTGGCGCCATAAAGCGCCACCTGTTGCGTGTAGTCCGTGAGCGTAATGAGCGGCAGACTGTTATCGCGCAAACTCAATTGGCTGAAGTTATCGATAATTTCGTACAGCTTGCGTTGCTGCTGCTGCTGGCGTTGATCGATTGGCGCTGTTAAAGCGCTGTTAGTGCTGCTGCTGCGATCGCTGCTGTTGCTGTTGTTGCTGCTACTCTCAATATTATTGTTGCTATTCTCACCACACTGCCTTACATAATCACACATGTCCGTTTCGGCGCGCAGCACTGGCGTTATGTGCACGCTTATGGCATCTGTTGTGCAGCCCTGGTCAAGCAATGTCTGGCAACGCTCGCGCTGGCGCAAATTCTTAAAAAATTCACTCAATTGCTGCTGCTGATCAACTGTTTGCTGCTGCGGCCAGGCTTCCAATGAGAAGCGTCGCTGCCTGTGGCGCTGCTGCTGCTGTTGCTGTTGCTGCTGCTGCTGCTGCTGATGCTTTATTGCATTACGCTGTCCAATCGATTGCAGGTACTTGATGTTGGCATGCAACCCCCGTTCGTAGTAGCCACTGGCGAGTTGCAAATATGTAGACAGATCGATGCGACGATGTCGCTGCTGCCGTTGTAGGCTTTCCACCTTTGCCGTATTAATATTTAAAACACACTGCTCATATTTGCTGCTGGTGCTGCCGCCGCGTTGGTCACGTTGTTGCCATTTGTGGTTGCCATCATTGCACGTCCTCGTGCCCGTTCCAATTGCCCCCCTCTTGCCGGCGCCGCTGTCGCCGCCGCCGACGCCGCTGCGTCAGTTTAAATGCCGCTCGACAAGCGCCTTCAGTTGGGCGCTGCTGTGGGCGCTCCTGATGCGACGCAGCGTATCGTTGTAGGTGTCGTCCGGTGGCTCAGCCGAGCAAATCGTTTGCCGGCCACGGGGTGCATACGTATTGTCGAATCTGTAATTAGGCCCGGCCATAAAAGTGGCGCGTTGGCGGTAGGGGAGGGGAGGGGAGGGTAGGGTATGGGAGGGAGGCCGAAACATTAATTACAACAATGCCGAGCACTAAACGTATTCACGTACGACTGAACAAACAGGCAAACAAATGAAATAAATAACAAAATGAAACAAACGAGCATACGGAATCCAAGGGGGGATGGGGGAATGGCAGGATGGGGGGATGGGGGATGGGAGGATGGGCTAATAAAATCAAACAACGATTTCCACACAAGCACGCAAAATGCCACTGTACAGCTTATTTACTTATCGTTATCGTTATCGTTTATGGGCAATGTCAACAAGTGAGGTTAAGTGCGACGCGGAAGTGGCTCCTTTTCTTTTTCCTTTTTTTTTCTTCTTCTCTTTTTCTCTTTCTGGTTTTCCTTTGGAAATACCTTTGGCAAAGGTTACCCCGGGCTGAACTCAGTGTTTGATAAAATCAATAGAAAAACTAATGAAAGTAAAACAAGATGATGGATGGGACTGTACTTCATTATTTGCAGGCTGAGAGCTAAGCTTCTTGGCTGCCTAATTTATTAGCTTAGTCTCGAAATTCGGAGAGCATTGATAGCCAAAAGTTAATATTAAACAGGTGCCAGCTGAAAAGCATGAAAATATTTACTCAAAAATCGATGCTAGCTCCGTTTCACGAAAACGAATCAACTCTGGGTAGAGCTAGGAAGTTTTCTTTTCGGTATAATCTATGACCCTTACCTCGATTCTTTTTCTGAAGTATCAGATTGATTATAAGATTGGATTACAGGATTTGTGTACTTAAGGATAGAGCTCAGCTGTTCAGTAAAATACTCAGCTTATTCTTGATATTATTAGAATAGGCAATAAGAGATAGTATGGAATAAAATGGAATGGAATATACAAAAATAGAACGATTTGATATTAAGGAAGTATTTTACGATGTGGATTTCCTTTCTATTCCCTTAAGTAGTCAATTAGTTTTGTTAATTAAAATCGAATAGAAAGGAGATCTTCCTGCCAGAAAATGTGCCGCTGCATCACAAGGAATTCCCCTCCTTCGATTACAATCAAGACTCAGATTGCGATATCTCGAGAATAAACTGTGTATATTTCCGCTTTGAGCGTCATTATGGACTATTTTATGATGCCAGCATAAGTGGACATTTTGGGATATTCCGAATATATATTTTGCTGCACTATCAGCATTTAAATGTGGATAAACCCAATGTAGAATGTTGGCCCCGCCTTCTCGCTTCGCTAACCAACACACAGCACACCATGTGCCAACGCTTATCAACACTGACGTCAGACGAGCTGGTGGTGTGAGAGGTTGAGAGGGCGGGGTCACCGGGGAGGGATGGACGGAGGGGCTGGCAAAGGGCACGAAACTCGAGCTGAAGATGTGTCGGAAATTTCACGTCAACCGCATTGCCGTATTGCCAGGGTGGGGCGAACGGCCTATACACATTTATGACACCAACTGTCATCCACACCCCACACACACACACACACACATACGCAGAGTCATTAAAATTAGTGTTGTGTACCTTGGAAAATAGTGCACATGGGCGGGCAACTCGGCACGGAATTGAGCACAGGGCGAGGCAAAGTTTGGACGCTGGAGGCGACTGCGTGCCCGACGCTGACGCACGAGACGTTGCCGCAGCGGCAGGTGGCAGCTGCGACTCGGCGGCAGCGACGATTGCTGCAGCTTAAAGTCGCGATAATGATTGGCCACCTCGTGCTGTTGGCGCTCGAAGCGAAAGCATTTTGTGTTAAAAATGCGTCGCATGCTCAGATCCGGCGCAAACTTATCGCCCACGCGCAGCGGCAGGCCCACAACTGCCAGATCGGACATCGGACTATAGCAATACTATATATATATATATATATGTATATCGACTAAATCACGCGCGCCTGCTGCCCGGCCGAACCGTTTGGATGTAGCCAACAAAGCAAACTACAGACTTGACATTGATGGGCTCCAACCCAGAGCAACTAATCATAACCTCTAGCTTCTAACCAGCTGGATATTGGGGGTTGGGCTGTGGAAATTATGTACAAACATTTGTATTTGCATTGATTGGATACAACAAAACAAAATCACAATATTTCTGTCTGGCAACAATTTGCGGTTATTTGTTATCACGTCAGTCAGCGATTTGTAGAGGACCCCTCGATGTCAAGAACCCCAGGAGCCCCAGTTCCCCTCTTATTCCACGCAAATGCTCGGCTAGTCGATACTTTGTAAACTGACTTGATCGAATAACTGAGACGTAAAAATACCATATGTCATTAAGAAAATAAACGCTAAGAACGTTTTATCGAAAAAGCTAAAGATCGATATTTATCGAATTGGAAAAGAATAACTGCAGCTATCGGAAATCGAAAGTTGAATTGATATTTGAGTTGAGTTGAGTTGAATTTTGAGTTTTTAGCTACTTTAATTTGTAGAATTCGCGCCAAATAAGCCTTGCTTATGATAATTATCGATTTGTGGCTACGTAGAGTTATCGATTATTTGAAACAGAGCTGCATTTGATATACAATTATTAAAATTCCCAGTTTGAGCTGCATACAAACTGTTCCTTTATACAGCTAGACAGTCAGATCTATTTGAATCAAGAATATATATACAGCAAACGTTGAATTAAAGAATTTTTTCTACTTGAAGAGACTACTCAATTAATACACCCTCTGCCTCTGAGTACAGGGTATGAGAACAGTTGTTTAGGTAGGTGCTCAGCCTGTGCCTTTGCCAATAGTCAAATTAGTCGTTTTCATGTCGTTAACTATTGTAACTGGTACATCCCATCCATACCTACAATTGCTCCTCCCTCCCCCCGCCCCCCTTCCACCCCCTTGGTTCGTTACGTTTTTTTTTTGGGGGGGCCCATTTGCATGTTTCTTTTGGCGCGTCAGCAACAATAAGCCAAACAATGTTATTCAAATGCAAAACAAATATCGTCAACAAATAACTGCTATAAAAGGCAAATAATGTTCGGTAAGCCCGCACTTCAGTTGCGCTATAAATCATTACGAAACAGACTGTGCCCCCGATCTGGGAACATTCCGGGAACAATCGAGTGCATACCCGAGGCGCTTCAATCAATTGGCCTCGACTTAATTGAGCTGCGGGCTGATAACAGGCAAATAAAATTCCATTTGGCATTTCAAAACAGTCTCTAATTACAATTTAAAGGCAGATTCCATATATATATAACTGTATATAAACATACATATGCATAAACATATGTGTGTGTGTGTGTGTGTACGTTATAATTGGAAAGAGCGTTGTGCGTTTTAGTTTCGGGTCTTCATTAGGCCTTGTGTCAATATTTATATAAATTTGCGTTCTGATAAGTTTTTATTAATGGATATCTTTTGCTTCCTTTGAGCATTGAGTATGTGCGCTTCAGTCTCGCCTTAACAGCGTCACTTTAACAGTTCGCACACTTAACATTTACTGTTACGTTATCTGAAGAGTCATTATTCACATTTACGATAACAGCGAACTTAACACTAAGGTTTACGCTATGTTATGAGCAATTAATCAAATTTTCGATAATAGCGTTACTTTAACAGTGCGAGCTTGACAGCCAAGTTAGCGCCATGTTACGCTGCGTAAATGAAACAGCGATTTTAAAGCTCTAATATGACCGCATAAACTAACAGTAAATGTGGCTTAAAGTTGTCCTGTTAATATGAATACTAGTTTAAGTAGTACTTTATTTATTTTATGTGCCACAAACGCGCTGCAAAAGCTGCTTAAGCTTTATTTATAGCATTGTGTGAATGTGTTCTAAGCACTAACAGCATCTCTTTGGCACGAGGACTTTTTAAGAGCTCTAATGAGGGCAGCTAATTGGACAACTAATTGGACAGTAATATAAAACGCGTCATCACGACCTTGAGCAGCGCTTTGCAGCTATGCTATTTATGTTAAATGAGCCACTTTAACATTAACATTAACTGCGTCACTCTAACATCTCGACCTTGAAAAGCGCTTTACCACTTATGTATGTTAGGTAAGTGCTGTACGGCTTAACGTTGTCAAGTTGGATAAGCATTAAAAAGGCATTACGAAAAGCTGTTCATAATTTGTTGCATTATTGATATGCCAATATGCCAATTGAGATTGATATGCAGGCACTTTAGAGGCACATCAGTCAAGGGTTTGAATAGTATATATGTATATATAGAATTGTGGGGCGAGCGGATGATTTATTTCGAGTTCTGATGATGATATCAAGACATGCAATGCAATATCTATGTATATGTGCGCATCTAAATAACAGCTCACCCGCCGGACGGAAATAGAGGACATCGAATATATGAAATGGAATGGACGTCTGTTGTCTAACTGTCGTTGGCAAGTTTCGGTGGCGATTTGTTAATCAATCAGCGGAAGAACCAGGTGTGCTCATTCCCTACATAACCGTCTACTCTCTCATTAATTTACCGCAAATCAGCGCCATTTTACTTAGCGGGCATTTTATGAGTAATTGCTGCAGAAGACCCATTAAAACTGCAATTTGAGCTGGCCCCTGTCAAAGGGGATGAAAACAATGGATAGCGGAAGGGGCATGGTGGGGGGGGGGGGGGGTGTTGGTTGGGGCTATATCCTGCCCCAAGGCAAGTCCTGCATTTGATGCGGATATAAATAGTTAATAAAAATTTCACAAGAAATCCAACCTCATTTGCACAAATACGCAGGAAGTCGCTGTTTGTGTGCGTGCGTATGTATGTGTATGCATGTGGGTTTGTGTGTGTGTGTGTGTGTGTGTGTGTGTGTGCGTAGCAGTATCCATTTCAAGTAATTGCCATGCTTATTTGCTAGCAAGGACCCTCAAAGACAAGCGACTGGCGGAGGGGGAGCTGCAAAGCACATACACACATGCACACATGCGCACATGCACATGCACACATACATGCATGCATGTGCATCTATGTCGCGTGCGGTGCGCCTGAATGTAGGCAATGCGCGCAGCCACGTCCCACTTAAATGGCTTTAAAACTATGCACACAATTAAAAACAACCGTTAAGAGTTGTTGTCATCATGTTCAAGGAGCAGCATTAGAACGAGAAGGAGATGGGGCAAGAGCGAGTGAGCGAGCGAGCAGGAGAGAGTTTCGTCAAATGACACTGACAGCTAGCTGGCATGTGTGCGTGTGTGTGTGTGTGTGTATTTGACACACATACGTGAGCTTTTCCCTTTCACACAAACAACGTACACATACACACTCACGGACACTCTGGCTTGCATTACATTATAAGCAAATACAATCACAATCAGCAAAAGGTTTTCGCTCCACTATGACACAAAAGCCGCCGTGTTTTACTTGTTGTTGTCGCCGCATGTCTGTGTGACACACTTATTATGCCTTATCACTTACACACACACACACACACACACACACAAACACAGTATATGTATATACAATTTAAGTATAATTTTTCAACATAGCACGTTCAATAAACCGCTGCCGCTACGCAGGAAGCAGCCACTGACAGCAACGCCAACACAAACAACAACAACAACAACAACAACAACAACAACATCAACAGCAACAACAACAAGAACAACAACAAGTACGCGCAGACAAATACTTCAGGAAACGGGCAGCGGCCGCCACTCGCATTCGACTTTGGCACAGATGCTAAATAGCAGCCACTGAATATTTAATTCATATTCATTTAAAAATGGCAACAAAAAATAGAACATAAAATTGGCTATGTATGTCGCCACATGCAGCGCAAATAATAGCTAAACAAATAAAAAGCGTATTGATTGTTTATCAAACAAACAAATGTACCGCTAATATTAACCTCTTTTGTCGTTGTTCAACACAACAGCTGGTCCTATCCGTGTGCCCGCTCGTGTGTGTTTGTGTGTTTCTGTCTGCTTTTTCACTCTCTCTCCTTTTGGCAGTTAAAACTGTCACTTGCCATTAGGGCACAAGTTATTTATTTTATTTATTTGTTTCTTGTTTTTTTTTTATCACTTGCTCACAGCCATCTTCGCCTGAGACAGCAACGAAAAATGCACGTTTTATTTTTGTTAGTATTATTCTTATTAATGTTCTTTTGCAATATACTTGTCTGCCTGCTGTTTAATGCGTTTCGTTTCGTTTGATTGCCACGCTTGATTGTTTCGTTTGGTTTTGTTATTTGATATTTTCGTTTCGATGCATCGCTGGAAATCGATACACTTCCAGGTTGTATGTTAATCGATAGATTTGCTTAGCAGTGTCGCAGCCCATCGAAATTTCCATCGTTTAGCTACTGTTACCGCCATTTAGCAAATGCAACAAGCTGCTGTCATAACGCGATTATATTGTTGAGCCACGCATTAGCTTATTACGTTAAATATTTTGAAGAACATAGCTGCGCAGAATATAATTAAGTTTACATAGTGCAGCGTATGTACCGCATATATAACTTAAATTGTAATGTCTGCAATTTCTTTATTTTAAATTGTGAACTATCAAAAACTATCGGGTTTATAAATCAATCGTGCGTTATGTTGCAGTTATCGATATATTGTGAACTTTTGTTCTACTCCGTGAACTAAATGAACAGTTCGTGAACCTCACCGCATTTTTGTAGTTCAGACAATTCTAAAAATATATGGAACATATGTTGTGATTGTTTGGTTCGTTGAGAAATGTATTCAATATGTTTCTTATATTGAGCGTGTTTTAAATGAAAAAAAAACAGTGTTTATTTTTTTCAGTTCGCAACATTCCCATAATTTAATAAAAATATTTTGTTGGTGTTGCAAATTTTAGTTCTCAGCCTGAACTAGTTAAGAACTGCACTTCACAACACTGTTGTTTTATAAAGCCGCATTTTATTTATTGTAGACAATTTTGTCATATTTCTTTAGAGGAAATATGAAATATTGAGATAATTTATTTAATTTTACATAAAGAAATTGCTGTAGTGTGTACGCTAATTGAAAGCAACTGTGGCTGCATTAAATAAAATTAGTACCAATCCGCCGGCAACGACAAATACCGCAATGACATCTGCAAGGGATCTGATAAAAATTGATATAGTAAGTGGCAATAAATATAAATATAAGTCCTGCGACTAATGCAGCACCCATCTATGCAGGAATGGGGCATGGAGCGTTTGGTGCGCGCCCAACAGGTCGTCGAGCTGCGTCCATATGACATCGAGTCGTGGTCTGTGATGCTGCGCGAGGCGCAGACACGGCCCATTCACGAGGTGCGCAGCCTGTACGAGTCCCTGGTGAATGTGTTTCCGACAACGGCGCGCTAC